TAGAATGAGCTGCGATACGCATTGAACCCTGCCAGTGCCCACGTGAACTGCTCACTCGTGTCGTAACGGTCTCTCAGCAGGTCCGGCGCTTGCTTCAGGTGCCTGGAGGATCTATAATAACAATAATTATTAAAATAAAAAACTGATTAATTATAAGTTCAAAGCAATAAACCAAATAATTAATGTAACATCTAACTTGAACTCCCAGTCGTTTAAGCCAATGTGCATATAGTGGGACTGGAGATCCGTAGCCTTGTAGCGCAGCATCGCCGGTTTGATCATGGACTGAAGGACTTGTGGGATGTTCTCGCCGACATCCGACGAAGTGGCATCGTCACTGGCCCTTGCCAACGAAGTCGATCCCGAGCCAGGCTGCTGCTGCTCCTCCTGGTCCTCCTTTTTGGCGGGATCTGAGACCACTGTGAAGCCCTCCGAATCCACCGTCTCGGACGGCTGTGCAGCCGCAGCTGCGGCGGTGTCCGTGGACTCGACCGCCTTCGCTCGGAGCTTCAATGCAGCCATGATGTCACTGTCCGCGCTGCTTGACATATGCTAACCCAGGAACTGGTCTGACTCCTGCTTCAGGAGCCTGAAACCTGGGAGCCTGAAAGAGCCTGGGAGCCACCGTGACAGGAAACGCAAGTGAAAGCAGCTGACTGTGATTGCATGTGGTGCACGGCAAACACTCCAGGCATGCATGCAACACTCCGCAGGTGCATGCAAAACTGGCGGCTTGCCTTCACGAAGAGCCGCGGCGGCCGTCGGCAGGTGTTCAAAACCTCAGTGGAACTGACTGAAAGTGCCTGGGAGCCTAAAGTGCCTGGGAGCCACCGTGACAGGAATTTCAAGTCAAAGCAGCTGACTGTCATTGCATGTGGTGCTCGGCAAACACTCCAGCGGCAACACTCGCAAGTCAAAGCAACTGACTGTGATTGCATGTGGTGCTCGGCAAACACTCCATTGGCAACACTCCACGGGTGCGTGCAAAACTCGCGGATTGCCTTTGCAGAGCCGCGGCGGGCCGTCGGCAGGTGTTCAAACCTCAGTGGAACTGACTGAAACCTGGGAGCCTAAAGTGCCTGGGAGCCTTTAAAGTGAAAGCTGCTGACTGTCATTGCATGTGGTGCTCGGAAAACACTCCAGCGGCAACACTCGCAAGTCAAAGCAGCTGACTGTGATTGCATGTGGTGCGCGGCAAACACTCTAGGCATGCATGCAACACTCCACGGGTAAATGCAAAACTAGCGGCTTGTCTTCGAAGAGCCGCGGCGGCCGTCGGCAGGTGTTCAAAACCTCAGTGGAACTGACTGAAACCTGGGAGCCTAAAGTGCCTGGGAGCCTTTAAAGTGAAAGCTGCTGACTGTCATTGCATGTGGTGCTCGGCAAACACTCCAGCGGCAACACTCGCAAGTCAAAGCAGCTGACTGTGATTGCATGTGGTGCACGGCAAACACTCTGGGCATGCATGCAACACTCCATGGGTAAATGCAAAACTGGCGGCTTGTCTTCGCAGAGCCGCGGCGGCCGTCGGCAGGCGTTCAAAACCTCAGTGGAACTGACTGAAACCTGGGAGCCTAAAGTGCCTGGGAGCCTAAAGTGCCTGGGAGTCACCGTGACAGGAATCGCAAGTCAAAGCAGCTGACTGTCATTGCATGTGGTGCTCGGCAAACACTCCAGCGGCAACACTCGCAAGTCAAAGCAGCTGACTGTCATTGCATGTGGTGCTGGGCAAACACTCCAGGGGCAACACTCCACGGGTGCATGCAAAACTGGTGGCTTGTCTTCGAAGAGCCGCGGCGGCCGTCGGCAGGTGTTCAAAACCTCAGTGGAACTGACTGAAACCTGGGAGAGCCTAAAGTGCCTGGGAGCCTAAAGTGAAAGCAGCTGACTGTCATTGCATGTGGTGCTCGGCAAACACTCCAGTGGCAACACTCGCAAGTCAAAGCAGCTGACTGTGATTGCATGTGGTGCACGGCAAACACTCTAGGCATGCATGCAACACTCCACGGGTAAATGCAAAACTGGCGGCTTGTCTTCGAAGAGCCGCGGCGGCCGTCGGAGGAAACCTCAGTGGAACTGAGTGAAACCTGGGAGCCTAAAGTGCCTGGGAGCCTAAAGTGCCTGGGAGCCTAAAGTGAAAGCTGCTGACTGTCATTGCATGTGGTGCTCGACAAACGCTCCAGTGGCAACACTCGCAAGTCAAAGCAGCTGACTGTGATTGCATGTGGTGCACGGCAAACACTCTAGGCATGCATGCAACACTCCACGGGTGCATGCAAAACTGGCGGCTTGTCTTCAAACTTCGAAGAGCCGCGGCGGCCGTCGGCAGGTGTTCAAAACCTCAGTGGGGCTGACTGAAACCTGGGAGCCTAAAGTGCCTGGGAGCCTAAAGTGAAAGCAGCTGACTGTCATTGCATGTGGTGCTCGACAAACACTCCAGTGGCAACACTCGCAAGTCAAAGCAGCTGACTGTGATTGCATGTGGTGCACGGCAAACACTCTAGGCATGCATGCAACACTCCACGGGTAAATGCAAAACTAGCGGCTTGTCTTCGAAGAGCCGCGGCGGCCGTCGGCAGGTGTTCAAACCTCAGTGGAACTGACTGAAACCTGGGAGCCTAAAGTGCCTGGGAGCCTAAAGTGAAAGCAGCTGACTGTCATTGCATGTGGTGCTCGGCAAACACTCCAGTGGCAACACTCGCAAGTCAAAGCAGCTGACTGTGATTGCATGTGGTGCACGGCAAACACTCTAGGCATGCATGCAACACTCCACGGGTAAATGCAAAACTGGCGGCTTGTCTTCGAAGAGCCGCGGCGGCCTTCGGCAGGAAACCTCGGTGGAACTGAGTGAAACCTGGGAGCCTAAAGTGCCTGGGAGCCTAAAGTGAAAGCAGCTGACTGTCATTGCATGTGGTGCTCGGCAAACGCTCCAGTGGCAACACTCGCAAGTCAAAGCAGCTGACTGTGATTGCATGTGGTGCACGGCAAACACTCTAGGCATGCATGCAACACTCCACGGGTGCATGCAAAACTGGCGGCTTGTCTTCAAACTTCGAAGAGCCGCGGCGGCCGTCGGCAGGTGTTCAAAACCTCAGTGGAACTGACTGAAACCTGGGAGCCTAAAGTGCCTGGGAGCCTAAAGTGAAAGCAGCTGACTGTCATTGCATGTGGTGCTCGGCAAACACTCCAGTGGCAACACTCGCAAGTCAAAGCAGCTGACTGTGATTGCATGTGGTGCACGGCAAACATTCTTCGAAGACAAGCGCTCTCTCTCTCTCCCCCGAGTCCGTGTGAGAGAGAGAGAGCGGCTTGTCTTCGAAGAGCCGCGGCGGCCGTCGGCAGGTGTTCAAACCTCAGTGGAACTGACTGAAACCTGGGAGCCTAAAGTGCCTGGGAGCCTAAACTGAAAGCAGCTGACTGTCATTGCATGTGGTGCTCGGCAAACACTCCAGTGGCAACACTCGCAAGTCAAAGCAGCTGACTCTGATTGCATGTGGTGCACGGCAAACACTCAAGGCATGCATGCAACACTCCATGGGTAAATGCAAAACTGGCGGCTTGTCTTCGCAGAGCCGCGGCGGCCGTCGGCAGGCGTTCAAAACCTCAGTGGAACTGACTGAAACCTGGGAGCCTAAAGTGCCTGGGAGCCTAAAGTGCCTGGGAGCCGCCGTGACAGGAATCGCAAGTCAAAGCAGCTGACTGTCATTGCATGTCATGCTATAACATGATTTTTGCTCTCGTCCTGCCCCCCCCCCCCCCTGAGGCTGCGGCTGCGGCTGCGGCCACAGCCGAAGAGTGATCACGACGAAGTCCATGAAGACATGGCGGCACGGGTTAGGGGTGGGCCTTGAGCCTGGCAGCCTGGGAGCCTTGGAGCCACCACCTACTGTAGTCTGACTGACTGAGCCTGGACCTGCATGCTGGGGTCTGACCGAGCCTGGTGCATTGTTCTGGGTCTGTGCATGCATGCTGGGGTCTGACCCAGCCTGGTGCATTGTTCTGGGTCTGACCGAGCCTCGTGCATTGGTCTGTGCATGCATGCTGGGGTCTGACCGAGCCTGGTGCATTGTTCTGGGTCTGTGCATGCATGCTGGGGTCTGACCCAGCCTGGTGCATTGTTCTGGGTCTGACCGAGCCTCGTGCATTGGTCTGTGCATGCATGCTGGGGTCTGACCGAGCCTGGTGCATTGTTCTGGGTCTGTGCATGCACGCTGGGGCCTCGGTCGGGGATGCACGGGCATCCCTCACCCCCGCAAGATGTCAGTGGTGGGACCACAGACATCTTGCGGGGGTGATGGATGTCTCTATCCATGCACGCTGGGGCCTCGGTCGGGGTTCATGCACGCACATCCTTCACCCCTGCAAGATGTCGGTGGTGGGACCACAGACATCTTGCAGGGGTGAGGGATGTCCGTGCATCCCCCGACAGGCATCAACTCCAACCAGGTGTTTCCACTGGAAACACCTGGTTGGATTGATGCCTGGTCTGACCCCTCGAGCCTGAAGGCTGCAGTTGGTTGTATGCAATGAACCCCACAAAACACCAAAAAATTAAAAATCCCCGAAACGGCCACCAAGCTTATTATAAGGACCCCAAAATAAGGTACTCTATTTTTCGGAAACTCTAAACCCTAAACCCTTTATAGACTTATAGATCCCTTTGAGGAACCCTTAAAGGATCCCTTTCAAGGTACCCCTAATTTTCGGAAACTCCCACATTTCAACAACCCTTTTCGACTTGAGGTCTCTCAGATCGCCTCAAGCCTTGTTGGGCTTGATGTCGGACAGGGGGTGCTTGCATACTTTACGTGGAGAGTTCGTGATGATGACGACGACGATGACGACGATGACGATGATGACGATGATGATGGAGATGATGGTGATGATGGTGTGATGGTGATGATGGTGATGATGGCGATGATGGCGATGATGGCGATGATAATGACACCAGCAAAACCAAGACTGGTATTCCAGTGACGACATGATGATGTTTCTACCAGCTAGCGGTAACCGAAAGCTAGCTCGATGACCTCAGAGCTCAGCATCACCACCGCCCCCACCCAAAACCAAAAACCCAAAACCCTAAACCCTAAACACCCAAGAAAGGGGACTCTACGTCACCTTCATCAGACTCCAAGCTCATCTTCACCCGCAGGATCCTCTTCCTTACCTTTGGTTAGTAAGGAATGGAAGACTGGTAGCAATAGTAGGGAAAATTGTACCCCCATTCCTCCATTCCCTACTAACCAAAGGCAAGCCATCAGACTCCTGGTTCATCTCTAGACCCAAGAGTAACCTAGGAATAAAAAGGGCGCCCTTTTTGGTTTAAAGGGGCTTATATGTGAACCTGAACAATAAAAAAGGGAGTAAGGGCCTACTCCAGGTCCTAGATCTTCACCCGCAGGATCCTCTTCATCATCACCGCCGTCGGCATGGCCATGATCACCATCGGCTCAGGGTTCAGGGGGGTTTAGGGGTTTAGGGGTTTGGGGGGTTTATGGTTTAGGGTTTTAAGGGTTAAGGGTTTAGGGTTTAGGGTTTAGGACGGTTTAGAGTTCAGGGCAACTTCTGTCATAAATAGAAACGATCTGAGTCTGATGTAAGTAAGTAGTAGCCATTGCAGGAGCAGCGCGCCTCTTCTGCCAGCGCCCGCTGCAGCTCAGGAAGACGCGCGATGTGATAGAACACCCAGATTCTCGGACAACAGCAACAGCAGTTTAGTTTTCAGGACATGAAGGATTACGGCTTGGGGTGGTTACTCGAGCTTCTGCAAGCCAAAATGCATGAAATTCCCTGTGACATTCCGGCAATGTCAAATGTTAGATGGCGACTAGTTCTACACTGGAACACACTGATGATAACTTCCTTCACCAAACACTGTCGTAATGCCGATGCTTGTGCAATAAGTTGACCATGCTAGTTCAAAAAATGCTCACGCGTGAATCATTTCCCGAGTGGTCGGGGTTGGACACTCGACTTCCGTAAGTGATACTTTCGGAGTGGCGTTCGAGTGGTCTTGCAATGGTCCTCGAAAAATGTCCTACAGAGGAAGGGTGCGTCCTCACGTGTTATAGACCGATGATACGGTGCTGTTTCGCTGGTAATGGCTTCTCTTAATGGTACGCTCTGTCGCTACCCGGAAAACCCCTTACTTGCAGCAGTTAGCATACAGCTGAGATCGTATCAAGACTAAGGCCTTGCAAGAGCTAGGGTTTATGTTTAGGGTTTCGGGTTTCGTGTTTTTAGCACCTCTGGCCACTAGGGGTTTAGGGTTTAGAGTTTCATAAACCCAGAACCCCACAAGGCCAGGCTGCAATGTCTGGGCGGGCGCGTCTGAGCCGGCAGCAAAGAGGACTACGAGGTTGTTGACGAGCTCCTTCAGGGTAGAGGTGGTCAGGGCAAAAAGGGTTTAGGGTGTGGGAGTTTAGAGTTTAGGGTCTATGATTCGGGTAGTTCTCTAAATTAGGGTCCCTTTTTAGGTTCCCAAGCTAGTACGGCATCCAAAAACAAGGACTCTAAAAGGAACAGCAACAGTGGCAACAGAAACCGATCATCCTAACACGAGACGTATAACGACAAGAGTGATACCCAGAATAGATACGAAGAGGAGACTATCAGTATGAACACTGACGACGAAAGCACTTGTGAGTTAAAGGCCTCACACTTATTACCACTGCATAACCTGCAACCTCATCCATTTCAACCTGCAAAGCTACTAACCCAAAACCCTAAGCCTTATTCTAAAATTTAAGGCTCCTAGATTCAGTCCGGAAAGGTCCAGTAAAGATTTTAAGGTTTTGGGCTTAAGTGGGCTTGAGATACCCAGACTTGAGCATTGGGGGATATGGGGACGTATAAGTGGGGTTACAAGTAGGGCAACTATAGTTATAACCCAGATTAAGGAACCTATTACACCCCTTATAACTACCAATGAACCTCCGAGTATACCTACGGAAAAGTATTGGCACTATTCAGGCCCCAACATTGGATTCCTCAATTTCAATTTTTAGGGTTTTGTGCTTGTTCTCGGCCAAACTGCAAAAACGATGCACTTTCTGCTTTTGTCTTGAAGGATCAAGGGTGTCGCCGTTCCCTGGCCGACAGGCCAAGCCCATCCCGTTTAGGCTTTAGGGTGGGTTTGGGGTTCTTAACTTGGGTTTAACATATCGCATATGTGTTGTTTATATGCAGGCAACCCTAAACCCTAAACCCTAAACCCTAAGCTTTTCGCTGTTTCGGAGCCCAGCTCTCCTGCGAATCAGGAATGTACTGTACTGTACATCGTACTTAAAGGATCATGGGACTTAGTAACTAGGGTTGTAATTAGGGTAACTGTACTTACAACTACTTATAGCCCTAATTAAGGGTACTTATAACCTGACTTACTAAGTCCCATGATCCTCCAAGTAGACCCTGAACCCTAAACCCTATAGATCCCTTTAATGAACCCTATAGATCCCTTTAAGGGGCCCTTTAAGGAGCCCGAGTTATGGCTTACTAAGTCCCATGATCCTCCAAGCAGGGCTCCTCTGGAATCTTGGGCTCTCCGGATTTAGGGCATTCCTCTCCTAGGATACCCAGTAACCTAAGAATAATTAGGGTTTAGGGTTTAGGGTTTAGCTAGGATACCCAGTAACTTAAGAATAAAAAGGCCTCTCTTTTTGGTATTGGGTAACTTTATAAGGAACCTAGGACTACAAAAAGGGAATAAGTGTACTACTGGGCATCCTAGTCTCGTGTTCGCCAATGAGCCCTAACCCTACCCTGCCCTGAGCCTGCAACCAGGGGAGCCCCTTTTAGGGTTTAGTTGTTGGGTTTAGGGTTTAGGATTTAGGGTTTAGGTTGGGTTTAGGGTTTAGGATTTAGGGTTTAGGTAGGGTTTCGGGCGTAGGATTTAGCGTTTAGATAGTTTTGAGGGCTTAGGATTTAGGGTGTAGGTAGAGTCTAGGGTGTAGTAGTGGGGTTTAGGGTTTAGGTAGGGTTCATGGGTTTTAGCTAGGGCCTGGAGGGCCTGGAACAACTTGGAAAGACAAAGACGTCCCAGAGACTCCAACATCCCTTAATTAAGGAATATACCTTAAATTATAGTAGGATCCCCAATACGATTTAAGGAATATTCCTTAATTAAGGGGTTTTGGAGTCTTGGGTGGGCCTCGTAGCTGAACTTGTCGCCTTCCATTTTCCGCAGCCTCTCCACCACTGTATCGCCCCGCCCGCACTGCTTTTCCTTCGCTGCGGGGCAGACTCGAGGGAGCTTCGTTGTGGGTTCTGAGTTTGGGGGTTTATGCTTTGGGGTTTAGGGTTTACGGGATTCGGATTGAAGCTCTCAAGCACTCTTGCGAAGAGCAGCCGGGATGAGCAATCATGTACCCTCAAACTAAAAACCTAAATCGCAATACTCTGCCGAAGCTCTTTGCCCCAAACGCAAACCCGTAACACGGTGCGAGGCCCCCAATTCCATAAAATCCGAAAGTTCACAGAGGGTCGGGGATGTTCCCCCGGACAGGGCTTTGGGGGTCGATCAGCAGCTTCTCGTCTTTATTGATGCGAGGCCAAAAGGGGGGTTTAAGATTCTTGGGGTAAGGATTCCTTAATATGAACCCTATCATGGAACCCTAATCCCCACTAAACCCACATAATGATTATGGTACAGCTGGGGATAGACATTCGGGCATCTTATACTTCCATAGCCAAGTCCATCATGCAAACATCAAGCGTTCATCCACAAACCCGCAGAGCCCGATACCCCTTAATCCAGGAACAGAGCTCAAATCATAATATACGCTCCTTATAGCAGCCCATATTCCCTTAGTTAAGGGGGTATTGGGCTCTCTGGGAATACCCATCACCCCCCGCTCCACCACTGCGCTGCTGCATGTACCACCGCGCTGTCGGGAGTGTCCCGGCCGGGTGATGAGGGGAGGGGGTTGGAGTTTGGGGTTCAAGGGTGACATTTTCGCGCTCATAGCGACGAACACCAGCTCCGCCGCGAAGGAAAAGTGCATTATATGGCGTTGCTGAGGTCCGGGTTTTTTTGGAGAGGCCCGGGCACGTTACCGGAAATCCCAGCCAACCGAAGTTGCCGCGATGGCAGGGCAGAAGTCCGCCCAACAAGCCCTAACTTCTTTACTATCCCGAAACGGGTTCCGGGTTTAGGGTACCCAGAAACCCAAACTAGTAAACCATAGAACCGCCAGTCGTGGACGAGTAGCCATTAGGTCCACCATCCTCTTCGCCATGCGAGCAGAAGCTCGTGCCCCTTCATCCAGCCTATCAATTTTCGTTTAGGGCTAAAAACTTTGAGCTTTAACTCACAGCATGGCTTGGCTTTGGGTCTTGGGATTCTGTTCAGCTCAGTCTCGACTTCAATCCGTTGCTCAGGGGTTTCTGACTCAAGCTCTGCGACAAGTCCCAGACGCTGACAGGGCTTACAGTTTCGGGCTTTCTTTGTTTTTACTCGCCCCTTTTCCTCTCGCCACAGTGTGTTCATCGGAATGTCCATCGGTTTCGGGCTTCGGATTTAGAGTTCACCCAGAAGAAGACCTTGGACTTAAGGGCCTACGGGATTCTGAGATCTCAAGGCTTCGAGCTTCGCAGCTTGACGATTAGGTCTTCAGGGTTTGGGGGATTTCTGGCGTAAGAATCTCCCGCAACCCCAAGCCCTGGTCACAAAGAGCGCAACTAACTACGGTATATGGGTAGTTCTCTAGACTTTAGGCTGCCTTCCTTGGAATCCAAAAGAAAGCGACACCCTCAAAAAGGACCGAAACAGGGAACCTGATGCAGAGAAGTACCTTTATACCAACAATCTTACCAAATATCTGAAAATATCTGTAACTGAATGGCTCTGCTTCCTCCCTAAACCCTAAACCCTAAACCCTAAACCCTAAATCCATACACATCTGAAGAACCCAGTGCCAAAAGACATGCTGAGATCGTACATTTTTCGTCACGACCAGAGACTCCACTATCCCTTAATTAAGGAATATTCCTTAAATTATAGTAGGATCCCTAATATGATTTAAGGAATATTCCTTAATTATGGAATATTGGAGTCCCTGGCTGACCTAGGTCTGCTTTCGCAAACAGAGTGAAGAACCTGGCTGAGTATATACCAAGAAGAGGCACATACACTTGTGTGCAAATACTGCATAAACAGCTAGACAGGACATGATCGAAAGAACTAGGCATATATTTATATACACATATGTATATATATATATATACACATATGTGTATATATATAAATATACATACATACATACATACATACATACATACATGGGTAGTTCTCTACAGTGGAAGAAAAGGACCCTAACAGGAACCCTAATCTCGAGAACTAGCCGCATACATGGGAGTTTCCGAAAATTAGGGGTACCTTATTTCGGGGTCCTTATAATAAGGATCCTATTATTTAGGGTACCATATTAGGGTCCCCTATTTTCGGAAACTCCCATATTTGTTTGACTAGTACTATGAGGTCGCTGCTCGAAAGCCCAAAACCTAGCGCATGACGGTTGAGACAGGTGCATGATTTGGGTACAGCCTCCGAACAATAACAGTCGTCAATAGTTAGTGTTTAGGGTTGTGGGTTTCAGGTTTAGGGTTGGCTACAGCCCCCATACAGTAACAGTCTATAGAGTTACTTGTAGGGGCCTCATATATCTATACTGTACGTATTGTTCAACTGCTACTGACCCTGGTCCTGTAACCCCAGTCTGTTAGGATTCATAGGAAGAACCCGAGAAAAGACCCAGGGCTTCTTAATCATAATCTGGTTGGCGCGCTTGCGGCACTCTCACAAAATTCTCCGAGCAGGGGCTTTAACGTATGGAGTAGGATTTCGGGTTTGGCGGGTTATGGGTTTCGGGGTTCAGGGGTATTGGGGTTCAGGATTTAAGGTTTAAAGTTTAGGGAGGTTCAGGACCCTAAACCTTCAACCCTAAACCCTGAACCCTAGACCCGGCACCTGCCCAAGAATGGGAACTTCCAGTAGGGAATCCTCGGTCAACCAGAGTTTGCACAGCTTTTCAGGTTTATGTGGGAGTTTCCGCCAATAGGGGACTCGAGTGTTCTTGATGTAAAACCCTAAACCCTAAACCCTAAACCCCTAATCCCCTAAACCCATTTAGCACCCACAATCTCAGCGATGCTTGGCCCATTGATTTCATCTTCGGGCTTGAGTCGGCTCCAGTAAACTCCACTTAGGGCCCAGGGGACTTAGTAAGTGGGCTATCAATACATTACATGCAGTTACCCTGATTATAACCCTACTTATACTCTACTCACTAATTCCCCTGACCCTCCAAGCATCTCAAGACCACAAAGCTGAAGGAGCTTCATATCGAAGAGGTTTGTACTTGGAGGATCACGGGACTTAGTAAGTCAGGTTGTAAGTGCCTTAACTGGGGTTATGAGTAGTTATAAGTACAGCTACCCTAAATTAGTCAGTAGGGTTCTGAAACATCTCTGAAGCTCCGCTTAGACAAACGCAAATGGCTCAGCCAGAACCCTGGCTAAGTCCAGAACGGGAAATGCCGCCCTGAGCCCCACTCAGATTGCGGCTGCAAGTAGATGCGGACAAGGGGTCCAGCTGGCCATGCGACTGCCGATGCCATTCATGAGCTTCTCAATGTCCTTCACCAAGGAGCTGTCCTGGGATCTATGCTGTTCCCGAGCTTAAAAGGCCCACGACATCTTGTAATTAGCTCATCTGAAACAAACACAAGTTAGCAAATGATGCAGGCTTTCGGGTATGCGGCCGACAACATGAAGGCTGTGATTACTGAGTTTCGTTCGCCTGAACCCTAAACTCAGTAATCATTGTAGCGACCCCAAAAATCAGCATTGTCGAGTGGACTGAGCTCTTGAACCACCCTTACTATTGTCATTTATATGTATATATATATATATATATATATACATATGTACACAAACATTCACCTGGCTTAAGTACTGAGTACATACATTTACATAATTATGTGTATATATATATATCACATGTGTGTGTATATAACACAGAAGAAGATAGATACATACACGCGTTCGGTCCCCCTCTGCTCTGCTGTGGAGACGCCCTCGTCTCCAGCATTCGGAGATCTTCGCCAAAGGCGGTCATGCAAAGAACATCGCTGACCTGGGTTGGCCTTTAAACACCCTGAAAAATATCTATATATAGGGCCCTAAACCCTAAACCCTAAACCCTATAAACCCAAATAAGGAAAATAAAAAATGTCCCAAAATCCAAGCTAGTGACGTAGAGAGGAAGGAGCTCCTGGGATGCGGACCGAGGCGGCTCAGGGGTTTAGGGGGTTTAGGGGTTTAGGGGTTTAGGGGTTCAGGGTTTAGGGGTTTAAGGGTTTGGGGGTTCAGGGGTTTGGGGGTTCAGGGGTTTGGGGGTTCAGGGGTTTGGGGGTTTAGGGGTTTAAGGGTTTAAGGGTTCAGGGGTTTAGGGGTTCAGGGGTTTAGGGGTTTAGGGGGTTTAGGGGTTTAGGGGTTCAGGGGTTTAAGGGTTTAAGGGTTTAGGGGTTTAGGGGTTTAGGGGTTCAGGGGTTTAGGGTTTAGGGTTTGGGGTTGAGGGCAGGGATCAAGCTTTTGGAAAGCTTATATATAGGGATTTTACAAGGGCTTCATATGATTCATAGGTGCTGTATCGTTCTATGTGGGTTTCGTGTGGGCTTCATATGTTTGTATACGGAGCCTCTAAAGGTTCTATAGGATCTAACAGAGGGCGCTGATAATCTCAACAGGTTTTGGGGTATGTTATAGTCAACATCTTCTATGCATGGATTATCGGCAGATGCCATGCTAAATTATCTAGACCTCCATAGAGCAGGGGATGGCTGTGTCATATTCGGTTTAGGATTTGGCGGCTTCAGCGTTTAGGGCTTGTGTCTCTTGGGCACAGTCTTAAAGCTTTAGATGCTTGTCCCCAGCCTCTAAGCCCTAAACCGTAAGCCCCGAATTCGAGCGCCAGGATGCGGAATGTACACTTTGAGCTACATCCACTGCAGGCGTTTAGGGCCTTTAGAATGCTGCAAAGCATGCTGCACTGTGATCGCCGCAACTATGGTTTCTAAAGCCCGTACTTCGATAGCAGGTGAGCAAAGCCAAAGCCGTAAAGCGACGTGACGAAAAGGTTTAGGGTCTGGTGCTTAGGGTTTAGGGTTTAGGGTGTCACCTAAACCCCAAGTCCAGTGAAACCATGCTTCGGAGAAGTTGGTCTCAGCCTCAGCTCGACAGTCGGCATCCAAGACGGACATGAGCTTCTCAGCAATTTCAGTGATGGCCGGTGTGTAGCTCTCCTCGGCTTAGGGCTTAAGGTTTAGGGATCAGGGTTTAGGGTTTAGGGTTCAGGGTTTAGGGTTTAGGGATCAGGGTTTAGGGCTCAGGGTTTAGGGTTTAGGTGTAAAGGTTTTGTGTAGCTCCTCGTTGGGCTTAGGGTTGAGGGTTTAGATCCTGTGAAGGTTCTTTAAGAAATTGAAAAGGGGTCTATGCATAGAGTTCCTTGCAATTCGGGTTGCTGGGTCAGGGCTTCAGGTTATGATCCGTAAACCCCAGGCCCCAGCCACTGAACCCAAAACCTACACCCACGCTGCCTGGCCGTTACTCCCATATCACTTCTTCTGCCAAGTCGATTGCAGAACTGCTGGCCAACCCACCCGCGTTCCGAAGCCATGTTCAAGCTCTCGGGGTATCCCGAAAAGCCTACTTGGAGGTTCATGGGTAGTTATACGTGGTTTTGCAAGTCACCTAACACAGGCTACCCTTGCTACCCTACTTATAACCCCAAGTATAACTACCCCTAAACCTCCAAGTAGAGCATGGGGCTGCCGGGTTTTAAGCTTTGGGTTGTAAGTGTTCGAGTTCAGGATGTTGCAATAAAGAAGTGCATCTGGCCTTGCCGAGAGGGTGACTGAAAAGGGTTTAGGGTTTAGGGGAGGTTCATGGGTAGTTATAAGTGGGCCCTAATATGGGTTATAACTATAGTTACCCTACTTATAACGCAACTTATGACTACCTACGAACCTCCAAGTAGGTTCTTCGTTCTCGGCTGTAGGTTTTCGAGCTCTAATTGCTCGCGAATTTGTTGCCCAACCGTAGACCCAGAGCCTCCAAAACCCCTTAACTAAGTAATATACCTTACTGAAAAAATAATAGGATCCCTAATATGATTTATTTAAGGCATAATCCTTAATTCAGGGCTTTTGGAGTCTCTCGGAACTTCCAACCCTGAACCCAAAGTTCATTCCGAAGCCCAGGTGCCACATTCTTGGCGTTGAAGGCCGGCGAAATGATTCCTCTGTAGGGTTATATGTACGGTTGCGGCTAGGGTAGATACTTGGGGGACACACCTATAAGTCTACGGAGAACCTGCCTGCTACTACATCCCATGAGTCTTTATAGAAAGCCCTTGCATGGAATAATGCCAGCCGAGATCTCCAAACAGTGAAAGAGCACCACGACAAACATCACGACCATGAAGCCCACGACCACGAGGACGACAGGACCACGACGAGGCCACCAGAAGACCACCAGGAGGTCCCAGGAAACCACCTACAGAAAACCAGTAGACCTCAGGAGACCACCAATATGACATAGCGACCTTGATAATTCGAAAAAAGGCTGAGGGCATAGTATACTATAAGATTTTTTGGAATGAACCCTAAGAAATAGTATTGGTAATTGTTAAGGCTCCTATTTTACTTTCAACCAAACACCTGCCGATCTTTGCTCCAAGTACTGAAGGATCCCGGACCACAGCGAGAATGCTTATCCCCCGAGCGGGGGTCTAGGGCTTAGGGTTTAGGGTATAGGTTGGGGAATCTTGACTATGGGGGTTTCCGAAAATAGGATACCCTAATATAGTACCCTAGATAGTGGGATCCTTATTATAAGGCCCCCAAAAGAAGGTACCCCAAATTCTCGGAAACTCCCAAGTACGGGCCTGAGTCGGGACCACGGCGCTTAGCGAAATTCAGAATGATATTCAGATTCTTTTCCTCGAGTATTGCTGTGATTCACAGTTTCCAGGTCAAACTGTTGATCTTTGTAGCAATTCATACTGAATCCGACCTCCCCAGATCTGCTTCCACCACGATCCCTGTAGACAATAGGACGTCACACAGCGGGAGCCGCGTCCCGCACAGATCCTGTGCAGTAACGAATAACAACAAGGTAATAATAGAAATAATCATCATAACAATACTGATAATAATCATAGTGTCAATAATACCACAAATAGTATTAATATGACTACTAGGACGCGGGACTCGATTTGCATTGCACCACAGTCGGGCAGCTATCTCGTAACGTAAGAACCCCATAGTCTTACCCCACTATCGGGGGGAGAACGCCTCAAGATTTCAGGAGTTCAAACAAGCCCTAAACCCCAAACCACCCTAAACCCTAAACCGCCCGAAATCCTGAACCCTGAGCTTTCAGGAGTTCAAAGCTGTGAGACGGTTGATGATGTAAATCCTGCATTACCTTAAGGACCCTAAAGTATGAGAATGATGGTATATTTAAAGGGATCCCTGAGGGCTTAGGGTTTAGGGCTTATGATATAAATCCTGCATTACCTTAAGGACCCTTAAGGACCCTAAAGTATGGAAATTATGGTACATTCCTTATTATGGGTAATGCAGGATTTATATCATCAACCGGATCATGCATGGGAGGCAGATTTCGGGAGCTCAAGGATGAAGATGCCGGTCCAGGGGTTCGGGGCTTCAGGGTTTACGGTTTAGGGGTTTAGGGGTTCAGGGGTTTAGGGGTTTAGGGGTTTAGGGGTTTAGGGGTTTAGGGGTTTAGGGGCTTCAGGGCTTAAGGTCTTGGGTCATTTAGAGTTTGGTGTTGAAGCCTTCGAGTTTGGGGCTTAAGCTGGTTTATAGTTTAGGGCTTCGGGATTTCGGGTTTAGGGTTTGCAGCCTAATGCTACGGGCTTTGGGCTGAGCCTCGACGGTTTAGGGAGGTCTAGGGCTTAGGTTCAGGGTAACTACTTACAACTCCAACTCACGCTGCTGTCGTATACAGGTGTGACTAACATCAAGGGTCGCTGTCTGCGATGTCCTATTCTGGTGCTTGGTGTCTTTATTAAGGCCCAGGCCACTTGTTGCTGAAAAAAAGGCTGCGAACAACAGCTTGCGGGGATTCTGCAAAGGGGGTACGACCACTAAATCATAGCAAGCTTCTCCGTTCGCGCTTCCAATCGTCCCCCTCGGAGAACATGATGCCATGAAACAAGCCCTCGGTGAGGTCGGCGATGATGCCTGGCTTTAATCAAGGCTTTAAAGGGTCTTATCTGGGATTACAGAGAAGGCCTGTTTGATGTAGAGTTTAGGGTTCAGAGTTCAGGGTTTAAGGTCCAGGACCACCGTAATTTAACACAATTATCGGAATACTTAGCAAAGCTGTTTTTTGAGGGCTCCTCATTCAAATTGTTGTGTAACACACCCCAGGCCCTGGCTTGACTAAAAGTGGCCCCCATAATACCATGAAAGTAAGACTAATACGCATTATGCGAAGAAACCTCATACCTAAACCCTAAATCTTGAACCTTAGGAAGACTAAAGGCGGAGATCTTTCGGGGTTAGGGTTTCAAGTGTTTTAAGTGTAGGCTTGGAAGCTGATGCTTTAGGGCTCGGTTTAAGGTTTGGGGTTGAGGGTTTAAGGTGTTCACTTGAGGACCGAAGAGGAGCTTGAAAACCTTACACCTTACACCCTACACCTCGTCAAAACCCCTCAAACGCCCCCAAAACAAGTCCTACGAATCCGACACAGGCCTGTCAAGCCTACAAGAACTATCCAAAACCAATAAAATCCCATAAACAAATGCTCGAAAAGCCTAATGAAACCAATTGAACCCCGCAAAGCACCCAATGAAAACCCTATCTTGGACCAACCTTAGCCTGGCCCTTTTTGGCTTTAGTTTATGGTTTACTGTCTAGGGATCAAGGGGTTTAAATGAAATAATTCTACAAAGGGTTTAAAAAGGCTCTACAAGGTTATATACGGGTTCCAGCAAAGCCTTCTGAGGTGTTGTTTTAGGGTTCTGCAACAGATGCGAAAGGCCCTAAACCCCTCAACCCAGAAAGGAGTTGAAGTTTACGCGCACGGGCATCCTTCCAATGATTGAAGTGTTACTCCCTTGTTTATGGTGTAACTGCAAGCATCGGTCGTTCCTCCAAGCCAATTGCTACGGACAGGGTGGAGGGTTTAGAATTGGGGGTTGGAGCTTTCGTTTGGGGTTGAGGATTTTGGGCTCAGGGTTTCGCGGCTTAGAACTTAGGGATTAAATGCTCCGTGGTGCTCCTCTTTTGCGATGGCAGGACGCATGGCAGAAACTGCATGCGACACCCTGATCTGCAAACCGCAAGCACTAAAAGCCGTAAACAGAAAGCAAAACAGCAGAACTGTGCCCCTGTTCCCACGCAGAATGCACCTGAATTGATCACTCTGAAAGGTCGCAGAGCCAGCACCACGTTGATGGCCTCAGCAAGATCTTCGTTCACAAGTCGTTCGGCGTCTTGCTTTGGCAGGTTTGAGAAGGCCTCCAGGAGGTGCTTCAAATTCTCTAAGTTGTTTTAAGGGTTTTTCCATAAGCTTGATATAGGGGTCACAATAATCTGAATACGGCTTTGGGGTGTTGTACTGTAAGCAACGTTAGTAATCATTCCGGCCCCCTTTATTTGCCTGTCTGTCGGGTTTGGGGTTTTTGGGATGTAAGGCTTTCGAACGGTTGATGACATATATCCTGCATTACTCTTAATTCCCATACTTTAGGTTCCGTAAGGTAATGCAGGATTTATATCAGCAACCGAAGTTCGGGGTTTAGGGTTTTGGGTTTTAAGTTTCAGTCGTTAGAGTTGGAGTTCTCAGGTTTCGGGTGTGGCAGTTTAGTCTTTAGTTGGTACTTAAAGGATCATGGGACTTAGTAACTAGGGTTAGAATGAGGGTAACTGTACTTATAACTACTTATAACCCCAATTAAGGTGCTTTTAACCTGACTTACTACGTCCCACGATCCTCCAAGTAAGGCTTACGAGGTTTGAGGTGTAGGTTGGCTTGGTGCCATGACCTGCTCTGCGGGGGACTGTTAGCTCAAGGGAGCCTAAGCCTAAACAGTTGCCTGTGGACCTGCCAAACACATCCGGATGAAGCCTGAAACCCCAAACGCCAAAACGCCACAAACAATGTTGAACTGTTTAACCCTTCTAAGTTTGCCTTAATGAGCAAAACCTCGAAAGCGATTGCGTAAACGCTGGCAGCCATAGGTTTCGAGGTAGAGCTTTGGGTTTAATCTATTACCTATCAGAAATGACAGGGCCTTCGACAAGGGTCGCAGACAACCCCTACGCAAGCCCCTCCAAACCTTGTTGATCATCCCTACAACCCCAACAATGAACTCTGACGGCGACCACTGGTGTTGGAACCCTGAGGCCACGCAAACCTAAATCCCGAACCCTCAAGACAACATACACGACTAGGGCATAGACATGTATGTATGTATATATATATATATATGTATGTATTACATATGTATACGCACACTTTAAGCAGACGGTCAACACAAGTCACTGAATCTCAAAGATGCGCTGCAAAAAGGCTATATATAAGCTTCAACAAAATTTCGAATGGTAAATGGTGACGAGGGTTTTTTGCCAAGTACTTAAACCAAAAACCCTTGATGGAAGCCTTCAAAGGAACTAAAAGGAACCCTCAAACCCTTAAGGAACGCTTAAACCCATGAAGGAAGCCCATAACCTAACCCTTAAAGGAACCCTTATGGGTTCCTTTAAAGGCTTCTACAGGGCTTCTTTAAGGGTTCCGTTTTGGGTTCTTAAGTTCCTTTAAAAGCGACTATAGGAACTCTCTCCCTCCAAGCTGCCTCCCAGGAGCAGCAGACGATAGTCCGAGTTCGGCCCTCGGCAAAGCGCGAGAGCAATGGAAGTAACTCAAAGTCTTAGGGTTTGGGGTTTTTTTTTTAAAGTGTGACGGGCTTTCTCCGCAGATCCAGCTCACCCCGCAAAGGGCACACACTGCAGCCAAGATCGACAAAGTCGAACCAAGGCCAACTCAGACAACCTTATCGTCCTCGAGAAGATTGACAGACGATCAAACTCGGAGTCAAAGTTTGGGGGTTCGGGGTTTAGGGTTTTAGGGTTTCGGTTGAGGGTTGTTTGGGGTTTAGGTTTTAGGGATTTACTGCTTAGGGTTTAGGGTTGTTTAGGGTTTGGGGTTTAGGGTTGTTCCGTGTTTATGGTAACCATTCAACAGCACTGGCGCGACTGACGCAGCCAGTTTCGGTAATAAGGCAACTACAAAAGGAATTATCACCTCCCTATTCGATTTCAACGAATGGAAGCCTGCATCAAAAAGACTCTAACCGAAAAAAACTGGCCCTGAACCGTGAACCTGTCTTTGAGCTGAACGAAACGCTGAGTTCGATCCCAAACACTGAACCCACTCCGCTCAGCCAGCTGACCACGTTCATCTCGAAGACGCCCTCCTCCCCATAGTTTGCCGAAAACTCGCCGAGTTTCTTGGTGATGTCCCTGCCACCTGTCTTATGGTGATACAAGTGAAGGATCATAATCATGATAAGGCTGTTGACACAAATCGCGAAAGAAAAAGATGCAAGAGCAAGAAGAACAACGATAATCATAGCAGTAGAACAGCTATACTGCATGATTACCACGTGTTCCGTGAACATTCTACGACCGGAAGTGGGCCCGATTCTGCAAAGATTCGGTCCTTCACGGAAACCAGACCAAGGGTTCCTAATTGAGGAGCCCGAACCCCTCCATACTTGGAGGTTCATGGGTAGTTATAAGTGGGGTTCTAAGTCCCCCAATATGGGTTATAACTATGGTCACCCTACTTAGAACCCCACTTATATCCACCCATGAACCTCCAAGCAGGGTTTAGATTTCCAACTTCAGGACTCACGATTGAAGTTTCGGGGCAGTGTCGGAGTTGTAATGTGCTGTCTCATGTGGGGTTCATGGTTGAGGAGCCTGATTCAAAGCACCATCGCAAAGAAGCCCTGTGCTAACTTAGAGAAAGTGAGGCTTGTCAAGCGCTTAAGGAATCGCGAACAGTGTGGCCATCGCAAGTTAGGGTTCAAACTTTAAGAATCAAGGTGCAGAGAAAGGCTTGCGGCTTCGATGAAACTCCCCCAAATCTACAATGTTTTCGGTCTAAAGTAATGGAATAAGGCTTTGGCGTCAAAAGTAGCATACCTACAATGAAGAACCCCAGGAAGAGGATTTAGAACTTTCCAGGCTTCAACAGTAGTCTACAGGCTCGAGACTCGGCTGGGATCTGCTTCTTGGAGAGCCTTCCCATGCTTGGAGTTTCATGGGTAGTTATAAGTGAAGTTATGAGCCCCCTAACATGGATTATGACTATACCTACCCTACTTATAACAGCACTTATAACTAATGTACCCATGAACCTCCAAGTCGGCTTAGGAGCAGGAGCTCGGAGTGTTGGACATGTGGCTTCAGGCTCCAGAGCCGGAGCCCACGGTTCGGGTGTAGGGTTTTGGGTTTGGGCTTCAGGCTGGGTACTGCCCCATACCCCAACATTCGATAATAAGGGTACCACGAAGGGCGTTGTACCTATAATATGTATATATATATATATATATATCTGTATATGTATTTGTATTTCTGTTACTAATAGTCTCCATCTGCTCCTGAGTGGGGGAGCGTATCCAAGGATTAGGGTCGGCCGAACATAGCCGAGAGAGTCAACAGAAGAAGAAGCAAAAAAAACTCACTGGGAAACGGAGAAAATCCCAGAGCCAGGAACCAGTCAAACCCAAGCCATTCCAGGATTCCAGGAAGAGACTCTTCCAACGTGATCCCAAGACCTTGAAGTATCTGAAGCCCGAAACACTTGGCCCCAACTTCAACACCACAAACCCGGAAACCCTAAAACCTCAGAAGCTGCCCCCACCCTGTAATAGTGACTATGAGGATTATATTAGGGCCCTATTATATTCCTATTATACCACTATTGCAGGGTGGGGGCCCCTTCTAACTAAAACCTCAAGTCAAGAGCCTAAACCCTGAACCCCCGAGTTGCCAAACCCTCAACTGGAAACAAAAAACCCTAAACCTCACAACCCCCAACCCGAACGGCTGAAACGCAAACACCGTGCTCTTCATACTTAGAATCGGGTTCTTATGGGGTGTTTAAGGGGTGTTATAGGGACTTCAAATTTAACTTTAGTATAGGGGCCTCAATACTTGGAATAGGGTATTGGAGTCCGACCTCCCTACGAACACATGCAACTCCACATAGCGCTCTTTTCTCCAAAGCCCGGATTTACCTGCCAGCTTAAAAACTTACCTTTGGTCAGTAGGGAATGGAGGGATCGGGTACAATTTTAACTACTATTACTACCATTCTTCCATTCCCTACTATCCAAAGGTGAGATTTTTGACACTTCAGAGGAGCATTGTATACGCGCAACAACACATTGAAGCAAACCCTATTTCTTATACGCCTTCAGTCACATGGCCTGTAAAATCCTAACCCGAGACACCTACAGCCTACATCGGAAGATCCCAAACGTGTGGCTTTCGAAGGAGTGGGCCTTAAGTCTGTACTTGGAGGATCATGCGACTTAGTAAGTAAGGTTATAAGTACCTTCATTGGAGTTACAACTAAGTATACCTATAGTTACCTTGGCTTAGTTAGTTGCTCCAAGTATGTTAGATAGTATTATTAGGGAGATCCCCAAAAGGGTACCCCGTCTGAACCCTACTTCTGGCTCTCTTAAAAGGGGCCTTATTGAGAGGGTCTATATCCCCAAGGGTCCCCTAATCCTAACTCCCATATGTTAGGGTGTCGGGTCTTCGACTTGAGGGCCCAGGGCCGCATCGCGAAGTCTTGATTCCTGAGCTAGCCCAACATTTGGGTGGTTGTCAAAACTAGGGTCCCTTTTTGGGTACCCTAAATATTAGGTGCCGTATTAAAAAAGGGACCCACAAAGGGACCCTAATTTTGACAACTACCCATTTACAGCATATTGATAGGAACCGTGAAGTCTGAACTCCGATAAAGCGCGATAAGCCGTTGAAAACGAGACGATGGCAGATGCCAGCTAACGTTCTTCAAACAAACCCTAAAACCCCGAACCATTGACCCGAAACTCTAAGCTAATCTAAGACTATTCAGACCTCTCTATGACAAAGAAACGAGGCCCCTGCCTGGCCCAAACTGCGGGAGCACACCGGAGAGCCAGGCTCCGGGCACGGCACCTGGGTGTCGGCTTTATGTGCTTTTGGTTGTTTCGAGTGTCGGGTTTAGGGCTTTGTTGCAAGTGTCCTGCGCGCTTTTCCACAGCGCGCTGCGGCGCTGGGTTTGAGGGTTGAGGGTTTGGGGTTGAAGGGTTGAGGGGTTTAGGGATTAGAGCTTGGGCTTAGAGATTCAAGCTAAGGGTTTAAGGATTCGAGCCTGGGGTCTAGAGGGTCGCAAAAGAAGGGGTGCAATCAATTTTGCCAAGGGTGGAGAAAGGAATCAAACGGTGCTTTTACAGCGAGAACTAGTGGAGTCTGAGGTTCACAGGTCTAGTTCTAAGGGTTCCTTTAAGAGTCCGTTTAAACCGGTCTATAGGGAGTCTTTGAGGTTATAGGGGTTAGGGCTTACTTGAAAGTTCATGGGCAGTAGTGAATGGAGTTATAAGTCCCCTAATTTGGGTTATAAATGAAGTCACCCTACTGAAAACCCCACTTAAATCCATCCCTCCAAGTATAGGGTTTATTGAATGTAGCAAGGAACGATAAGGATTATAAGCAGACCACGATGAATAAAACCCCTTTTCTTCAAAGGCGCCAGTCTTGACCCCACTATAATCCCAAAGGGAACCCCTGAAATTTATGAGAACATCCGCTTCGGGCTGTCCTACACCCCAAACCCTACAGTACACCCTTGAGCCCTGGACCCACATTCGCGAAACTTCAACGCCCATCACCTGAAACCCTAACCTCCCCCCTCAAACACGAAACTCGACACGCTAGTCCGAGAACCGCAAATACCCAAAATCCTATACCCATTAACCCATAAACCCAAACCCCCACCTAAACCCCACAACACGAGTATCGCTGAGACCCCAAGTATCAGTCCCGTCACGAAATCGTTCAATCTTCGGCTGGAGCCACCACCTGCATGTAGGACTTCCAAAAGGGATTAGGGTATGGGGTTCTGTCAAAGCTGCTACGTATGAGGGCTGAAAAGGGAGTTTGAAACACTTTGGAATGCGATCACGAGGCTTTGTAAGGTGCCGAGGTACCACTTGGCTGAGGAATCTATCTCAAACCGTATTCAGGATCCCTCTACAATTTAAGGAACGTAAAACATTGCGGCACCGGTTGGGGATAAGTGGTTTAGCTTGAAACATGTCTTTTGGATCAGGCCGCTACGGGCTTGGGACTATGTTTTTCAGCTATGAAACGATGAACCCTCAACCCTAGACCCGACACACGACACCCTACCGAAACCACAAACTCTGGAAGCAACTAACTTGTGATTTAAAGATGCTGGGTTGTAGGGTTGACTATTGTGTGGCTACCCCTGAAATACAACAGGAACTCTAAATCCATGCCGGAACCTGTGGTCTTTGTAAACTGATGCTTCGGGGCTTAAGGCTGCTTTTCCTTTCTGGTCCTCTGCCCGGTGGACCGTTGGCAAAACGTCACGGTTTCCCCTAAACCCCAAACCTGAACCGCTCGGGTTTACGGTGTTTTAGGCTCCCAGCGGTTGATATTACGATGGTTTGGGTCTAGGGTTCAAGGTTTACCGGCTTACGGTCTCGGATTTCCTATAAAATTCCAAACCCGAATCCGAAGACTGCCATCCAACCCCAAACCCTCAGCCCAAACCCCAAGCCGCAAATGACTAAGCCCAAAACCGATGACTCAGGGCTCGGAAAACGCCGAAGCCCTTGGGCCCCACGACCTGCTGCTTCGCAAGGCTCCTAAACCCTGAACCGCCCCCAAAGGGGTGGGGGCCACTACGCCTTGCTGTGATCATATACATTAAAGACCCCTGGGTAGTTTCCGGGATTCCCCGCCGCCTCAGCACCACGGCTACAGACAAACCTCCACAGAGGGCCACGGCATGCCGGGAATCTCTGAGCCACTCCACCAACCTCGGGGTGTCTGAGTGTCTGAGTCCTGGTTAAGGAACTTGTTTTACATCACCGCAATAAGGACCCATAGTAAAAACTGTCTTTGTTGTGATATCTTAAGTTGCAATGCCTAAAAGAACTCATGTCTTTGAAGCTTTCCGTTGAACTGTGCCATACTGTGCCAAGGCACGTCGCAATATGGCACATATATACCCGATTATGCTACTTCGCAACCCTATGCACGGACATTAAGTTGTTCAGGTGCCCAAGCTGCAACGAAACAGTCACTGACCGACTTCAGTCTTTCTGGGACTCCATCCTTTTAGCTGCCCTTTCAGTCTGCATTGCGGGTTTTGGGTCAGTTTGGCGTCCAAGCCGCATGTCGCTTGAAAGCCGAGTTGACGATGCCGTGGTTGTTCGCCGTGTGATAGCGGCAAGTTACATGGAGATGGCATGGAAATCAAGAAGCATTTCCTAAGCCTTTAACTCTTGACCCTAAACAGTGACCGTCTTTCCTCGACGAAAATAGTCAGCATTGGCTGCCACAGCTGCCTGTTGCGCCACGAGCACACCAGTGTTCAAGGTCTAAGGTTTCGGGTCTAGGGCTTAGGGCCTGTAGTTTATTTGCATATTTGTCTGTTGCACTGGCTAGTTGGTCACACTTGTTGTGTGTTTGTGTACTGTGAATGTTCATATTTGTAGGACATTCACGTGCAAAAGCACGGACATACCATGGGTGTGCGCTTATACATAACTACGTGTATGCAGATGGTCATATTTTTCATTTATGTACTGGCGCGTTCGTGATTGTTGTATTGCTTGTGGCTTGCGATGGGTGCTCCGTCAGATCCAACACGGCTCCGTCAGACGCAAGCGATTTGTAAGCCGACACGGGCGGCGGGGTCAGTGCAACAGTTGAAGCCATTCCACACGAGGTTCAGGGTTTTGCGCAGATGCTGTCGAGCGGCGCTTAGTCGCAAGCTCTATTTGGATCCACAGATTACTGAAGGCATGGAGGGCACAATGAATTCCCAGACATTGCCCAGCGCTTAGGATTTAGGTTTCTTGGGCACGAAACCCCCTCGAAGCCTGACAACGCCTATAATACCTTTTTCGGCAGAGTGCATAATTCAGCATTGGTAATCAAAGCAATGTGAGGTCTTTCAACTGTAATTCAGCATTCGACATTATGACTGAAGGATTAAAGTTGAAGGAGTGGCCAACAGTTCCAGATCGGCGTCCGGGTACGTCGGATTATTTTCCACGGAGCTTTGCTTTATTTCAAAAGTAAGATTCCAATCACAGTATTCCCGAACTATATGGGAAAATCAAAGTATATAAAGAATAAGAAAATTGCTCAAGCAGATGTGGCGCTTTTTCCTTCCGGCAAAGCCGAAGGGGGAAGTCGTGACATCCCCGCACCGATCGATGGCGAACACGAGGATCGCCAACGAACACCCCGGGAGTGGAGGGAGGGACAAAAATTTCCGGCCCTTTGGCCAGGGAGCAGCTACCCACCCATCCCACCCCTGTCTCGAGGCGGCGCGGGAAATAAAAGAGATGAACTCAGACGATTCAAAGCATGCATTCATGCCATGAAATGTGGTTCAAAATAAAGCAAAGGCGTTTTGAAAACTTCGCAGTAATTTTCAAAACTCTCCTAGGAAAATAAAGCTAGTAGAGGCAAGCCTCATGTGTCGCTTATTTTCCACGGAGCTTTGCTTTATTTCAAAAGTAAGATTCCAATCACAGTATTCCCAAACTATATGGGAAAATCAAAGTATATAAAGAATAAGAAAATTGCTCAAGCAGATGTGGCGCTTTTTCCTTCCGGCAAAGCCGAAGGGGGAAGTCGTGACATCCCCGCACCGATCGATGGCGAACACGAGGATCGCCAACGAACACCCCATTCACTTAAGAAGGAGATCAATCGTGGCATTGCCTTTGATCGGGCATCGAGGCGACACTCTGCACACCTGCCCCCTGACTGGAAAGATTGACTTAGCTCTCGAAGGAGGATCGGCCGGGTTGCTTGCACTTGGAACGCGGCTAAACCAAGGGAGCATCGCCTCAGCGTCGCAGCTCTCAAAGATCAGCAAGAGTTGCCTCCACAAAGGGTCTTTTGAAGAGCCTTTCACCAAAGAGGCCAACACTCCGGAGTGATCCACATACATGGTCACCCTCTGCATGTTCAAGTGCTTCGACCACGCTTCTCTCGCACATACCACTGCATACATCTCAACTGGGCCTATCAAATGCCTTTTCCCGAGAGCCTCCCAGCTCTGTACAACGCTCAAAGGGATAGCACATGCAAAGAAGAAAGTGCACCACGCGCCGTTGTCGAAATGGTACAAGACTCCTCCGACAGTGGCAGGGTGAGTTTCATTCGTCGGCTCATACGCTCCATCTGTGAAAATCACAGAACGGCGAGACCCCACACAGGCCGGGACTATCCTAGGGGTACCCCCAAGAACCCGGGACCTAAGATTACAAAGGGCCTGCACAGCCGTGGCATCAAGGGCTTTGGCCTGAGAACTCATCGTGCACGCCCTAAGGTCGGCCAGTGCCAATCTGCCCAATCGCCCGTGCAGCTGACCCTCGGCAAACTGGAGGCGACCGAACAAAGACGGCAGAGTCTTCGGATCAAGATGGCCCGCACTCAAGACGGAGTCCACCGCCTCAGCGATGGCAGTAGCACGTTCGGGCTTATTCCCAATCTTAACTACCCCAAAGCTACCAAGGTCAACCCGAACGCCTAGAAGTTCGGCCTCATGGCTGAAGGGAAGATCCTTATCTTCTGCCCAGGCGAAACCCAGCAGGTCCAACGCGGCTCTGATAGTCGACTGCGTGTTGTTACAAAGCGGCAAGACCTCTAACACCGGGTAATCGTCGAAGTAGTTGCAGGCGAGCACCTGCAACGCAATCAGAACCCTTTGGAGCAATCTTGCAACGCGATTGAATGAAACCACCGACGAGGTGGCTCCAAACAGAAGGGTTCGGCTCTCGAAGCCAAACGCAAGCCCCGAAACCGGGTCCTTGATGGCCACTATGCTCAGACAGCGGTCTCGTGGAGAAACCGCCAACTGTTTATAAGCACTTTTCAAGTCCACTGTTTTCAAGCTCGGCTGAAGCGCATCGGGCTTCAGGGCCCTCCAAAAAGAATGCACCGGAAAGCGAAGATGGTCACCGTCCGACAAAGGGATGCTCACCTCGCCTTTTGCAATGAAGATCTTAAAGAGGGTGATCGCAAGCCAGACCAATTCATCAAGGGCCCTCAAAGAAATCCGATCGGAAACAGCATAAGCGCAGTTTACAGAGTTCTCGGCCAAATCGTCTATCGACCGCGTCTTGGCTTTTTGCACAATGCCGAACCTCCGCACCGGAAGCCGGCCTTCTGGATGACGGGCTTGCAGCTCGTCCCACGAGTAAGGCCCTGTCAGCCACTCCTTGACCAGCATCTCTTGCTGTGTGGAGTCCCACACTTCCCGAGCTAAATCGTCCACCTCCGCGTTCGCCACCTTCGCCCACAGCACAGGCCTAAGGAATTTAGCATGCTGCACAAGCTCTGCCCTTGTCATCAGAGCCGGTTTTCTATCCACATCGAAGATGCCAGAAGGACTCGACTCCCCCACTAAAGGAAACCCATGCTTGAGGTGTTCGAAGACTTCAGTGTCAGGCCAACTGAAAGATGATGCAATCTTCTCCAAAAGCAAGATGTTCTTGCCCTTCATGACAGAAGCTACACCAGGATCCATGGCAGCATGCAGATTTGCTTCGGCACCAGCCAAATCGCGTTTCCAAGAAGTCCACTGCTGGAGCAAATTCAGACGGTGTTTCATCACACCAACCGGGCCCTCTTTCAAGGTAAAAGCCAACGCTCTCAACATGAAGTCTGGGACTGCCACGCACAAGTCGAAGGGATGATCGATATGCAATGCCTGAGCCACAAACTCTTGTTCCGTGCGGTAAATGCCAAAGGTAACTGCTGAAGGCACACCTGACAGGCTTCCGACCTGTTTCGCACCGACGACCCCCCGATCACACACAACGCGAAGAAGGCGGGAGCCAGGAGGGATGGACCCTACGGCACATGTGAGATTGCCTTTATTATCCAAAGGAAGGGGCCACGGGAACTCACGGACCGTGGCCTGGCACTTAAACTCGGCGATCTGCGGCTGGAATTTTGACAATCGAGGCTGCCGCCCAGCGGCTGCGACGGCAGAATGCCGCGAACTCTGCAGTGGAACAGCGTGCTCAAGTAAGAGGCCAGACTGGCCAACCGCCAGCTGCAGGAGGCCAGCAAACACATCACAGAATTTGGGTGTGTACAAGACATTTGGTGCAAGCGAGCCCGCAGCGTGGGGCCCGGGGCGACAACGACATGCTGGCACCGGCATGCCAGCCAGCGCGGCCTGGGTTGTGCACAGACGCATTTTTACCGGACAGGGAGCCCCGTAGCAACCTGCACAGAAGTCTACGCAATGGAGGTTGTCGGGCAAGTCGAGCTGTTTCCACAGGGCTGACGCCAGGGGATGCAAGACACTCCAATGCGAATCAGATGCAAGCAAGAGCTTGGCGAGGCGAATGGTTTGCCCGGCGCTAAAAGTAGCCTTAAAACAATCCTTGGTCGCAGGAAAGAAATGCACGTGAAAAGGGGCGTCTTGGCTGATGACAGTCTGCGCAAAGGAGAAACCCGACTCAGTTTCAATGTCCACAGGGACAAGGTGAGTGTGCACTCGCCCAGCGGGGCGAGAATGTTCAAGCGCTATGATTTGGAATCCGTCCCGCCGCACCCGAGCCGACAGCAGCCCGGACCCACACTTTATCTCGACATAGAGAGCAGAACCGGGCTTCAAGGGACTACCAGGGTCGCTCACAGGTTCCTTAGGGCAAAAGGCGGGGACAACCGAAGCGGGCAAGGGCCTAAGCGACTCCTGAGCTGCAGTAGAGGTCAAGGATGGCGGCTGACGAGCACACACTTCTGCAGGCGCCAACCGCGCGCCCTCGGGCGCGCATTCCGGAACATCAACATGACACTTGCGGAGAAAGTCAAGATGTTCCTTGCATAGGGATTCGACATGACGGATTGTGAATGCAACCAGCAAGACTCTACGGCCTTGCCACGCCTCGGTGTAGTGCCAATTGTGTCTGGCATTGAATCGGACAGGGCCCTTTGCAACCTGCAAGCGAGAGCCTCGGGCACCATTAAGGTCAGATACATCCCGACCGTTTTCATGCTCCACAAAGATGGCTCCACCTGAGAATTCAGTCAGTGCAATCGCCAAGTTATGCAAGTTGGCATTCCACTGATCACGATGGCGCTCAGTGCGAACATCCTCGAATATATTTATTGAAGAAAATTTAAACCCCGGTGCACGCTGTCTCACAAACCTTGCAAAGACTTTGAGCGCCTCCGGGTTGGCTGAGGCATTGGCCTTCAAGCCCACATTACCACCAAGAACATACGCTCCCGTGGCATAAGATTTCGAAGTTGGGAGAGGTGCATCGGCACCCCTCTTCAAGGCATCCGAAGGAAGACCATCGAAGACTCGCAGAACATCGGTGGCACTCACATGACCCTCGTCAAGTGAAGAGCTCGCTGTGCCGCTCTGTGACTCCGCCCCATCACGGGGCTTCGGGGACCTGCTGCGTGCGGCCTCCACCACACCTGGTGATGGCCTGGCGATGGCACTGTGAGAGCCAACGTTGTGCACGTGATGATCCTCTCGATCAACACCTGATTGCGGACGACAATCCACTCCACTCGGAGGAGAGCCGCCCGCGCATGCATTGCTCGGCCGATGAACTCCCTCTCGGAGATCATCCACCTGTGCTGTCCTCGCTACCGGCTGATGCACACTCTCTGGAGCACCGGCCGCCTGCGAAGCACCCTCGAGACCAGCTAGTCACGAGCCACCCTGAGCCCGCTTTGGGCACTGCGCTGCACCATGGTTATGAGCACCGCACTTAGGCACTGCACAGATGTGCAAGCCCTTCTCGCACTTCTGCCCCTTCGTCGAGCAGCCTCCCAGGTTGAAGGCAAAGCAGATTGGGTCCCCACGATTAGTGTGGGACCTGCAGCCTTCCAAGCCGGCGGGCAACCTTGTCATGAACCTCTGCTTACCTTTCTTTCCTTTGCCCCCACCTTTGGTGTAAGGAGATGGCCTCTCCCACTTGGGAGCATCCGGCTTCTGGGGAACATCCTTTAGGGCAGGGGCCGGAAAAGGTTGCAATAAGCATGACACTTCGTTCATGTACATCGCATCCGGCAGAAGTGTGTCCAACGGGCGACCCGATGCGACGGTCTGCACTCCTGCCCTGGTCTTATCACGAAGCTCGGCAAACAGCTGCCGATCCGCCGACTCAAGCTGCTTCCAAGTGGGCCTGACAAAATGCTCCGCAGGCGTCTGCATGCGAGCCTTCATCAAGCGCTGAGTCCATTGGTCGGAGACACTGAAATCGATCAGGTTCGCCTGATCCATGGCCAGAGACCTCCTCGTGAGGGCCTGCTGAACAAGAATCTCTGATGAAGTGTCCGCAACCAAGTCAGGCTGCTTATGCTCAATCCGAAGCTTGCCAGAGGACTCTTCGACCGTGAACCTAACATCTCGCTTCTTCTCGCCAGCCAATTCAGCTTCCTTTGACACACACCGGTCCCACGGAATGTACCTGAGCTCATTCGCCTCGTAGGAGGCCACAGCAAGGTCGACAAGTGCATCGGCAGGCTCCAGAGGCCCCTTTAGCGAAATTCCGACAAGCTTCTTTGCCTGCCGCTCGTAACGCTCAGACCTCTCAGGCTGCGACAATGGCCTGACAGTCGACTCGGGATCGGCCTTCTCGATCCGCTGCTTCATTTCCGCGGTCACGATGGCATAAGCCTCATTGTACACCGCACGCCAATTGGCCTTGTCTGCGATTGTCAGATCTCGTTTCAAGATATCCTTCAACACCCGCATCAAAGGCTCCTCGTCTGTCTGGCCAGGGGTGAAAGAAGAAATGAAAGCCAGCCTCCTCAAGTTTCCCACCTCAGGCAGAATTTTCAGGACATCTCCTTCCGCGAAACCCACGACGCTCAATCGTGACTGCAGAACCGATTGGCTCTCAGAGTAGTTCGCCATCTTCAGGAGAAGGACCCGGCTAGCAATCCGCTTAAAAGTCACATGAAGTATGTCAGCATGTTCTAATGCATACACAATGCGATGCGTGAGCTGGACTCCGGCCGACCAGTGTTAGCGCAGACTCTAAAAGACTGAGCCGACTCCTCGGAACAACGATGCCTTGTTCTAGTGCACATCACTCACGACCCTCGCATTCACTCAAGCTATCGCATCACTCAGCTCAGGAATCACGCTCCAGACACTCAGAAATCCCTTCTTTTCTACAGCATCTCCTCGGCATCACTTCTTAGGTGGACAGCAGCTCCTACACAACGGAAACAAAATTCGCGGGACGGAAGACAGCCTTGCATACCTGGTTGAGATGCTCCTGCCACATCTGAACTTGTCGCCCTCCTCGGACGCGACTGCATGAATGAAACGGCTGTCTTTATTCCTGAACAAAGGGACTGCCTCAAGCTCGGCCCGCAAGCCTGCATCGGGCTCCCATTGCCTCCCCAACTCATCGGCGGCGGCCTCCGCAGCTTCATGATCGACATCCTCGGCATCCTCGCTGGCCTCGGAAGAAGAATCCGACAGAACCTCGTCAGGAGGAATGGGCATCCCCTCCGGATCTCCAAAGCGCTTCACGAAGTAGCCGGACCTGGCGGCATCCGGCATGAACCTTTCGCGTGACACTTCGAGCAGGACCTCTTGCAGCCGGCGCACAGGAGCAGACATGTTGTCTCTCCCATAGATGATCTCGGTTCCATCACGGCCCCTGGCGTGATAACCAAGGGCCGCCCTCACCTCGCGGGCTAATCCGAATTTGGCGCTCCAACTCAAGGTCGTCGCCTTGAGACTGTGCGTCCCAAGCGGTTCGACGGAAGACCTGTCGCATCCTGCACGGATCAAGAGTGACTTCATCCATTTCGTGGCACTTGCCACCGCCAGCGGCGCCGTTTGCCACCCTCCTCCAGAGAGCGGACTCGGAAGCAAGGGCTTACCCGTCCCCAAAGGAGGCCCATGCACTTTATAGAACTCAAACCACTTAACACCCCAGGGCACCTCGCCTATTCCCTGGATGGGAGCGAACATGTGCAAATACCTGACCTTTCTTTCCAGTGAAAACGAAGTTTTGCTTCGCTCAACAGCAGCCTCAAGGTATCCCACAACGCCATCTGGGGTATCACTCAAGTCGCAAGTCATTGCACCTGCAGCCTGGGCATCTGAGTACCTCGCTCGTGCGTAAAGGGTCCAAACAAAGAAGCCGGCAGCGACCCGATCTGCGGGTTCGAGATTGATCGAACCAGATGCAATGGCTTCCAACTTGCGCACATGATCAACTTTAAGAGCTGGCTTCTGTCGAGTCTTTCTCTTGTCAAGATATAGCTTCGACGACAGCCCACGAACCCTGGGGCTAAAGACTTCATCGCTCACCTTCAAGCTCACAGTGAACTTTGCAAAAGCGAGGCTGCTCAAGAAGCTCCTTGCGAAAGTGGGCGCCTCGTGTGATGCATAGTCTTGAAGGAAAGCATAGACCCCGGCTTCGGTGACAGGGAAAGGATCGACCTGGTGACCTCGGCAATGCTTGACGTACCTGGCTAGAGGCCCGGCACGGCCTGAGATTGTGACGCTCGCATCTTGCAATGAGGTCTTCAAGTCGGCATCTCGCCCATTTTCCCGGTCTAACCGAATCGACAAAGTCAAACCAAAATCCTCGGGGAACCTCTCAAGAATCCCAAGCCACTTTGCCAAAGCCGCCTCCCTTGCTTCGGAGAGTTTTTGATCCCAGCTCTGCCCCGGTGCATTCGGGACCCTCACTCCTGCAAGCCTGCGTGATTCAAGCTTTCCTGAAGACGACTTAACCGGCCCTGCAGGGACGGCCGGCCCCACAGGCATTGACACTATGCTCCCACCTTTGGCGTAAGGTGAAGGCAAAGCAGGCATGTCAAGAAAAGCAGAAGATACTTCCCACGGCATCTTAACTGCGTTTCCAATCCCTCGGGATGCCACACGAGTCGATGACACACAGTGACTCTCATAAGCCCCAAGCACACGAGCCCTCTTGAGGCTGCTTTCAAGAGAGTCACCTCCCGACATGCTGGCTGCAGATCGGCCTTGTCAAGCCAGCATGGCCAACGCTACTCCCCACTTCTACAAAAATTTCCGGCCCTTTGGCCAGGGAGCAGCTACCCACCCATCCCACCCCTGTCTCGAGGCGGCGCGGGAAATAAAAGAGATGAACTCAGACGATTCAAAGCATGCATTCATGCCATGAAATGTGGTTCAAAATAAAGCAAAGGCGTTTTGAAAACTTCGCAGTAATTTTCAAAACTCTCCTAGGAAAATAAAGCTAGTAGAGGCAAGCCTCATGTGTCGCAAAGCAGAAATCACAGCACAGGCATGTAAAGTAAAATTCACAATTTTCGACAGTTTCCACGCTCCTTTTGCTTTTTGGATGACAACGAAATAATTTGCTTTGGACTTGGGTCTAGAATGGATTTTGGGGTCAAGTTTGTCGGGAACTCTTTTCCAATGCTTTGCAATGCAGAAAAGAATCGAAACTCCAAACCAGAACGTCAAGCAACACCCAAACAATCACAGACAATGGAGCGCATAGGATGTAATTTCATCCGGTTTCGTGACTGGATCGGTATCGAAGGCATGGTGTGCGCCTGACGGCAGACTTTCCCGCTTATTTGTCTTAGAGTCTTTTAGAGTGGTGGTTCCACAGTTTTGAAGCTGCTGCAACTCTCAATGACTCTCAACTGGGGCCTAACTGCTTCAAACAAAGTCTCCACAGTGCCGAACCGTTTTGCAGAATGAAAAAACTTTGAGGAAAATCATTTGGCACAGTTTGCACTGTTTCAAGCGGCTATTTGAAGGCATTTAAACTCTACAACGAGGCAAACCAAAACTGGATGTCTCCGACGGCCTCTTACGCAGATTATGTGACAACTGAAAAACCTGTGAATCACATGGTTTTTGCTTGATTGCACCAAAAACTTGTTCAAACCTGTTTTCTCAGTTGTTTATGAAACGTTTTCTGGAAACAAAAAGCTTGGACAATTTTGTGTCACAAACGCGTTATGAATGTAACGGATCACGCGAGAAAAAACAGAAAGCACTGAGCATTTTTTGCAAAGCTTTTGGGGTTCTTAAATTTCCAAAATTTGCTGTAAGGTCGTTCTTTTGTGGAACAAGCTAAGATGACAAGGCGGTGAGACCACATGTTTTCGTGTTCTGGTTCGAAACACCAGAAAGCAAAAACACTGGAATCAAACCAAGTCTTAATCTGAGGTTGGAAGTTCAACTCTGAGTTTAACTCGAGTTTGGTCCTGACGGCCGCTATGATTCGACTTCCTTCAGCAGCGATGTCTGGTCTGCAGCTTTGACTGTCGCACCGGGTGAACAGCCTCTCGTAGGAAACGGCCTCCTGAGAGATACGGCCTCTGGTAGGAAACTGCCTCTGACCAGAAAACTCTTGGAGGAGGATAAGGTCCCCCCAGTTTTGCAAGGTGACGTCCGGTCAGAAACAAGCCAATGCCGGAAACAGCCATTGCACAGAAACGACCTCTCGCAGGAAACGGCCTGGCGCAGGAAAGGGCTGCTCGAGCACTTCGAAGACTACGCTGGGCTTCTACCCACATAAATCGTCTTTGAAGGTCTCACGATCAACACACACAGCCTTGCAGAGACTGAGCAAATTGTGAATTGCACTTCACATGAGGAAAAGTGAAGAGACACGGCACCCACAGACAGCGGGCACCCACCGCAACTTTTCCTCGCTGCGTTTGTTCGGCAGCCGTTGAGCCATGGACTTCAGCTTTCTAAACATTAGAACTGGCTCCCGGTAGGCTGTGGCTTGCGGAAAGGTTTCGACAACATGTGAAATGGTTTCGAAACATGCTCCAACCAAACCAAAACAAATGTGCGTACTTCTCACGCCAAAACAAAGCTGCCCTTTCCAAGAAGCAAGCGCTCTACACAAAGCAATTCTGCATTGCAGGTGCTCAACGACGCTCCTCTTTCCAACGAATCTGGCTTCAAAGCTAACACCGCCGCAAACTGCAAACACCATGGGTTCGGTGTGGTCCATGTCTCCCAACCCGTGGCACGAACTTGAAGACTTGAAGCCGGAGACTGATCTCACTTTTACTGCTTGTCGCTGCCGCATAGGACTCCAATCGACTCCAACCACTCCAGTCGATGCACGCGTGTTGCGCGACAGCATCAAGAGTGGTGCAGAACAGCATGACAAGACAGTACATACAGTCACTTATTAAGCTTCACGTGCGCAGGCACGACAAAGATCAAAATCACAGAGATCACACCTGTACGTCGTGTGCCCTGTCAAATCTTTACCACACACGTCGCAGTTTGCTTCAAACCACGCATATTTGCGCTTGCTTATGATCACATTCTGCGTCGGCTCACGCAACTGCAAACCGTGTCCTTGGCTGCAAAATAAGCCCCGAGAGGGCCGAGAAGTCCGAGAAGAAGACGAAGCAGCAAGAGGTAAAGATGGAGCTGTGTCGGCCACCTGCCTTTCCTTGACCTTGGTCCAGGATCGGCGCGCCTTCTTGGAAGCAGGCTTGATGTAGACCACCTCTATGTCACTGTCGCTTTCTTCTTCCTTCTTGACGTTGGCTGGACCTTCAACCTGATTTCCAGAGTCCGACACCGCAGCCGGAGCATTGTCAAGGCCCCTGGCAGCCGCCAGCACCGCAGCCGGCGCATTGTCAGGGCTGCTGGGTGGGGGCGGCTGCTGTCCGGCATCCTCCGCATCCGATTCATTCTCTAGCATCGACTTGTTGTCTTGCAGAGCATCCTCTGGAACATCGGCCTCTCCCAAAGGCAGGTGCACCTGAGTGGCACGGAATTTTCTCAACTAGGGCGCACACTAGACCTCGAAGCATCCCAAAACTGAAGTGAGCGACCCTACATCTTACACTGCCTACAGGGCTGCAGTTCTCTTCCAAAGCGCATGCTGCCGTTGAGGATGATTGTCTTGCCAGTCCTTGATCTCTGCGAACAAGTTCGACAGTGGTTCGGCAGCAAAAGCAGAGCATCGCTGACGCCACAAGAACTCACCCAAGACCTCACCATACGCCCGCTTGCCAAGTCGGCCGTACTGGCGCTGGCGCAAATACTTCTTCAACCGACCAAATAAGCCTTCCACGGCGTTTGTGGTGACATTGATGTCTTGTCCAAAGATTTTCTCCACACGGGAGAATTCTCCTTGTTTGTGGTTGACGGCACGATGAACATAGCCACTGTTCTTGCGCGACAAGAACGAGTAGGACTTGTGGCGATCTGTGAAAATCAAAGAGCCAAGCTGCACATGTGCTTCAATCTGCGCCTTTAATGTCTTCATTTTGCGGTCTGGAATAGTAATCAAGGCACAGGCTCCGGTCGCTTGTCTAGTACCCAGATCCAATTCCAAAAACCCCATGACAATTGTCCTGTGACCTGAGGTAGTTCTGCCTTGAAACCCACCTGCATTCTTCTTCTTCTTGGTGAAGAAGGTCTCGTCAACTACCACCACGCGGCCAGGACCACCCAACTGGACCGTGTGCTTTTGAAGTTGAAGCCATATCAGGTCTCGAAGTCGCTGGCGGATTTTGCCCCACGTTTTATCCTTTAGGCCAGATTCTTTCAAGACTTGCTTTTGGGGGACATCAGAGCAGAACCAATACAAGGCACGCAAGTACTGCGAAGGCGTGACACTGGTTGGTAGGACATACGGAAGTGTTCCGTGCTCTCGCCACGACTTTCTGTAATTGCATCTTTTGTGAACAGGTGCACGCTCGTCCTCCTCGTCGTCTTGGCTGAAAACTTCTTCTAGCTTAGCCGTGCAATGCAAATGGCAATAAGCAGTCTGTTCGTTCCCACTGAAGCCCCATTCATGTCCACGGCTGCAAAGCTTTGGCAAGTACAAGAGTTCAAGCCAAATGAGGAACCACAACGCTCGATTGTTTGTGGCCCAAACCTTTTGCGCAAACTCTTCCGAATTGGGCATGGCGGATTGGAAACAACCAGCTCAGTAAAGCACTGCAGAACGATTGAGCCCAGGCAAACTGCACGCAAGCAGTATGTGCTCATGGTGCTTCTTCACTACTGACCATGTATAACCATTCAGAGTCTTGTTTTGCTGACCATGAACCAAAAAACAAATTGGGCACATGAACAAAAAACAAAAAAAACATTCCAACATTTTGATACAAGCAGCATGTGCTCATGGTGCTTCACTTCTGACCATGGAACCAAAAAACAAAGTGGGCACATGAACAAAAAACAAAAAAACATTCCAAAATTTTCACACACTCCAAAACAAAGAAGCACAGCTCGAGACCCATCTGCCATATTGTGACTGAATCTTTACCCGTCGTGCCAGGCCCTGGCAACACTCAAGACTGTGCGAACCTGAGGGCCTGTGCGTTGCTGCCGTTTTCGTTGGATTTGATTTATCCGTCGTGCCAGGCCCTGGCAATACTCAAGACTGTGCGAACACCTGAAGGCCTGTGCGTTGCCGCCGTTTTCTTTCACCTTTTCAACCCTTCTTTCGAAGCTCAACAAACCTGGATGCGACGGCTTGCTGCGGTAAGGTGATCCAGCAACCCTTCCTGATCTTTGGATCCAGCGTGCAAGCGATTCACTTCTCTTAACGCTGCCCGCAGGCGGAACGGTGGGATTCGTGTCTCATAAGCTAAAAGCAAGAAGCTAGCAAGTGTCGAGGGTCTTTCCTGCCTTCAAGGCATCACAGTCTTCGTGCCAGCAGCGAGCCAGTCCTTCAAAGCCCAAAACGTCTCAGCGGCCCTGCAAGAGGTTCAAGACGACAGCAACTCTTGGAGTCCGCAAGAAAAGGCATCGCCCAAATTTGACTGGCAGGGCTTGGCAACAACCCTCGCAAGCAAGCTATCTTGCCAGCTGCGATCTGGACACTC